GTGGTAGCTGTCCTGGTGCCCAAGCACATTATGTTGTGCCCCAAGAGGTCCAGAAAAAAAAAAAGGGAAGTTACAAGTTACTCAGACATTTCAACAGTGTGTTATCATAGATGCAAAGAGACAGATAGGCTCAGTTAAGGTATGGGTTGACCTTGTCAGTGAAGATACCGGTCTAGGACGTAACTGCCCACCATAACTGCTCTGAGTGAAGTTTAATTTCAGACCATCCTTTGTGGTTAGGCCTCTCAGACTGCCATGCAGGCCTCCCCTGAGCTTGTCAGGTCAGCATGTGGCCCCTTTCGTTCACAATTACCTTCCCTCCATTAAGAGGTCCATAAAAAGGAGCCAACTGAGATCCACAAGGGGAGTCAGCAGGAGCCATGTTTGTTTTCCCCACCCCCTGTGATAGGGTTTTGCTGAGGGGTCACTGCTAGGTCCCCACTTGTAGGTCCCCACTTGCTCCCCTCCCTTTGGCCTGAGATGGCAGGGCAGTACAGGGGCTTCGAAGGAGCAGGTCACGACTCCTCATTCCCAGAATCATCCTGGTCATCACAGTCAGCATCTTCCTCCTCCTCCTCTTCATCCTCAATGTCAAGGTCGTACAAATCGTCATAAAGCCAATCTGAGCTGTTGTCATTGGAAGGCACTTTAGTTTTGATGCAATATTCTGCCAGGGTCGTGGGGACTTTCACTCCATCCTTTTCTGCTTCAGCTTTAGTGGCTGAAACTTGTTTTCTAATGATTTCAGCATATTCTTTGTCTTTTCCTTTACTGTCCCTCCATTTCCTGAACATAACTGAAGCATCCGCATTGGCTGCGGAGAAGATGTTGGGCTCATTAAGCAATGAGATTACACTTAACAGGATAGTCCTAACATTCTGAGTAGGATTCCACCTTTCGGAGTTCAGTTGACCACTCTGGGGGGCATCTACGGGTGGATGAAGAATTGAAATGCATACATGTCCACTCTCATAAATGTTGGGGTGCCACATTTTGGTCAAGAATCTGAAGGTAGGTGGTGAATATGGGTAGTCAATAGGAAATTTAATATGCGCCTTGAAGTAGCCGCCTTCGTAGAGGGTGTTGGGGGGTCCGAAGATGGCAACCTCCCAGTTGTAGAGGTCGGACTCGTCCACCAGGGTGATCCGGGAGCCCTCCACTGGCTCCTCCTGCAGGGACTTGAGCTCCAGCATCAGGGCCTTCTGGGAGCTGGCCATTGCGGCCGTGGCGGTGGCGGCGCCTGGCCGGGGCCCTGGTCCACACTGGGCGGGCGGGCCGGGTGCTCCTCACAAGGGGGCCAGGTGCAGGGAGAGGGTGAAGGAGTTAGGGGAATTCACTCCCAGTCCCGGTCCTCCCCGCCCTGGAGGGGGCCTCCACTTGGCGGGGATAGGAGAAAAGGTGGAAGCGGAGAAAGGCAGCAGAGGGCTGGTGGCGGGGGAGGGCCAGCGATGGTGAGGAGAGGGGGCCAGGCCGGCCCGGGAGCGCCGCACTCGCTCGCCCTCTCGTTCTTCTGTGGGGCGGCCGCGGCCGCTGTTTCTCTTTAGAATAGTGCAAATGTGCAATCGTGCACTCACCTAAGGAGCAGATCCAGGGCTTTCCGTAGCAGAAAAAATAGGAAGAAGTCAGCTCAAGGATCAAGCCTTGATGTGTGGTTGCAATCTCTTCCAGAAGTCTCCCAGCCAGGTGAGTTCCCAAGACACTCTGTTCTGGAGAAGGTTCCAAGTTCTGTGTTTTATTGTCTTGTTACATCTATATTTATACCAGTTGATTTTAATCCTATCAATCT